AATAAACAAGATTGCGCGATTATCCTGTACTGGGGTCTTTCGAAAAAGGGCCAGCTGAGGACCGAGTGCCTGTCATCCGTGGCCAACAACGAACCTGACGGACCCATGTTTAACAGCAGGAGCAGCCACCTGGACATGATTTACCGCAGCAGCATAGGCTACAGCCTTGGCGATCCCAAGATCAGCATCACCTTGATGCAGCTACAGTTGGACGTCGTCTTTGCCCCCAAGCCTGACAAAGTGCTCAAGCTGAAGAAGGCAGCGTCCAGTGGCGGCAGCAACGGCGGTAACAGCACCGGCGGCAATGGCACTGACCCGGGCGCGTCCAGCATGATTGGTGCCGGTGCCGGCGTCGGTCTGGGAGTGGGTCTGACGCTGCTGGTACTCTTGCTCATCGTGTGTATCGCGACTGCCCTTATCGCCAGGAGGAAGAGGCAACTGGCAGCCATGCTAGACCCGGACGCCATGCTGGACAACATCGCCGACAACCTAGGTGACAGCAGCGACTCAACCAGTACTTTCTTTGACGACACAACCGACAGCGACGACGATGACAAGTCGTGATGGTGTCGTGCGACAATGAGTTCAGGTGTGTCTTCAGCATGCAGTGACGCGGACGAGGTTGTGTTCTGTGGCTTGCTAGTCGCCTATTACTGGGAGGAAAACGGGGGGACGAAGAGGTGATCGGGTCGAAACAACTGTGAAAAGAAGACAATGAGCCGGGAAAAGTGCCGCCCAGTTTGACGACGCATTTGATGCGGAGTTTTCGACACGGGAAACACTTATTAGTGTGCGGCCTCATAACTAGTTATTACAAAGGTGTACTATTCAACCTATCTTAAGTGATGTCCGAAGAAACAACCGTTAAGAAGACACCAAATAACACGACGCTGGAGTCAAAAGGGTTTAACATCGAAAGGCATCAGGGACAGTATCATTGAAATGGAAGTGGCCGAGGTGTCGACCAGCATGGCAACGAAAATAATCAAAGCTGATAGATCAAGATTGCATGAATACAGACTCCCTTGATAGCTATTCCTTTATAAGTAATCAGCGGCCTCAGAAACAGTCGATACACGAAACAAAGTTAACGTGAAGGTATCAATTCCAAGATATTTATGCTACGGCATGTGGAAACATTTGCTTTTTGCTGCGCAGCTCGTGGTGTCAACACAGTTCTCATCTGCAGCATCAGGGCATTCTAAGTTAACGAAACCGTGGCAAATGGAATCTTTCGCCGAACGGTTAAGGGGGCACAATGCTCAAAATCTGACGTACAGTGAAACAGCAGCCATTCTACGAGCCCGAGGCTACAAAGTGAAGGAGTTCAAAGGTGAGCCACCATTGGTAATGATTGCTGACACTGCGCACCTGCCCGAGCAGGTAATGCCCCAATTGTCACAAGACCGATTCACTGGTATCATCTCAAGCAACAACCTATGGAAGGACGAAAGAGGCTCAGCTCAGTGCTGGTACTTTTTTGACACAGAATCACGAGCAGACAAGAATGTGTTCAAGGCCGCGGTAAAGACGTGGAGTGACAAAAGCTGCATCAAGTTCAACAAGATTCCAGACGGAACATGCAGACAGAGAGTTGGACACGGCGCAATCTGCGTGGGAAACTATGGCGGCTGTTTTTCTTATGTAGGAAACATCTACAGACCGAGAGGAACACCACAGAGGATGTCCGTTCAGCCCAATGGCTGCGAAATGGTGGCCGCGGCACACGAGTTCGGCCACGCGCTGGGCAACCAGCACCAGCAGAGCCGTCCAGACCGAGACTTGTTCATGTTCGTCAACAACGAGAACTTTGAGGTGTCGGTGGACAAGAGCAGGCGGGGCGATGCCTTGTCGCAAACCTGGGCACAGGGTGGCCGCTGCGCCAAAGATCAGGTGGTCGACCTGCCGGTGCCTTACGACTACATGTCTCTGATGCAGTACGCCACGACGGCTTTTGCCGATGGCGATGTCCGACCAATTTTTGTCACTCTTGACGGGCACTACCAGTACATGCTCGACTACCACCGCAACGCGGGTATGGCGCAGTCGCATTACGACATGTACGCCCTGAACACGGTGTACGGCTGCGATAAACTCTGGGCTGCGTCTTGTAGATTTAACGGAAAACACGTGCCAAAGTGCACAAACATGGGCTTCTTAACTAAAGACTGCACGTGTCAATGCCCGAGGGAATATACAGGTGAAACCTGCGACACGAAAGCAGGGCCTACATACCCCATTCTAGCCAAAGCAAAGGTGATGATCGATGTGAGGAAGTCCCAGAAGATTTATCTGGGAACCAAGACGTTTGTGCCGGACAGGGGTGATGCAGTATTGGACAACTTTAAATATTTTCAGTTCTTCACGGTGATAGCTGACGGTGACACCAAAACACAGGTGTCAATAAACATAAAACAGAGCGCATACAAGAGCCGCTTCTTTTTAAGTCGACAATCCGCCTTCTTCATCATAAGAAACATCCACTTTATGGACTGCCAGATCAATCTGTTCTGGGGCCTTTCGAAAAAGGGCCAGCTGAGGACCGAGTGCCTGTCATCCGTGGCCAACAACGAGCCTGACGGACCCATGTTTAACAGCAGGAGCAACCACCTGGACATGATTTACCACAGCCACATCGGTCGCATCTACACCGATCCCAGGGTCACCATCGCAGTGATGCAGTTGCACCTGGACGTCGTCTTCGCCCCCAAACCTGACGAAGTGCTCACGGTGAAGACACCGCCCAGTGGCAACGGCTATGACAGCGGTGACGAAACTGAACGGTGCGCATCCCGCATGTCAAGCTACAGCGCCGGCGTCGGTCTGGGAGTGGGCCTGACGCTGCTGGCGCTCCTCATCGCTGCTGGCGGCGCAGCGGCCTACATATTCAAGAGGAAGCGGCAGCTGGCATGGGGTGAGAGCCCAGATGCCACACCTGATGGCGCCAGTAGCGACACCGATTTCGGCTCCGCCTCCGACCACAACGCCAGTGCCAAGTAATCATGGTGAAGCAAGGTCGGCCGACGCCGGGCTCGCAGCCGCGAGAGGCCCCGCAGCACACACCGTAAGCCCTGCGCCCGTTGTCCTCGTTGTCCTTCGAGCCGCCAACGACAACGGACGAGCCGCCAACGAAAACGGACAATGCGAAGGAAACCCCCTGATAATGGCACCGCTATCGACGTTGGCGGGCCGTGGACCAGGGACGCTGTATAACACAGCTGTCGCTCGAGCTTTCAGGCATCCTCGCCGACCGTCCTGCGTAGTAAGCATCGCTGGATTTCCTAAAGCTCTCGGCCATGCCGTGCAGGCTGTGTGTGTACACTTGCAGGCACGAGAAAACGAAGGTGACGACTTACGACGCGACAAAAGCATTGCATTCAAACGATGTCTTGCAAACAAACGTTTTTCCTCTGTATATAATCTTCTAAATGCATTCCATTCAAATTTCTTTCATTGCTGAAGCAAAGCCAAGGTAGTGCTTATGATGGATTTCAGATAAGGGGCGTACGGACAAAATAATTTTCTCTCCTACAAAACCGCATGTAAGACATGCCGCAAATACATATCGCAAAATGCGAGGTGAGTTGAGCACGAGGGAAGGAAAAATAACAACTCTGCGAAAACTTGCACGAAATGAAGACACTGCAACTCCTATCTAGGTCATGCCTGGCACCCAAAGCTTCTTGAGAAGGCTGCGCAGACGTGACGTCACCATCGGACAAAAGTCTGACAACCCGTAGTGTGGCTTTTATTGATACTAGGCAAAGGTTGGCGCATATCAGTAACATGACCACGAACGGAGATTTCGCCAATGAACTGGGTAGGAATCCTGTTCTACGTCTTTATTCCAATGTTATGTGAATAGATATTGTGCATCTTGCACTTAAAACCTAACGCCCAATGAATACTGCGGTCTGCTTCCAAAAATTAGCCCTATTAAACCACGACTTCTAGGTTCAGTACCCGCGCCACATTGGTTGCAGTCAACGTGCCTGAAACTCTGTCATGTCTCTTGGTGAAATGTACATTCAGTTGGAAATACAGGGATATCATGTGTAATGCTTACATTCAATTTGTAAATGGATAATAACTGTCCATTTATCGTCGTACTACAGTGCCTACATGTAGTGAAATGTGAAAATAATGTAATGTGAGCAAGGGAGGTGCCAAAAATTTGGTTTTTACAATAACATGATATTCCTAGTCGTTGGTTAACTTGCAGATCCATGATGCTGGATGGGTTCGGTGAACAAGATATGCAAAGCATAATACCCGACTACCCTTATATATCCCTTGACTATTTCCCAGCTGAAATATGGGCCACCATTCTGACTGGCAGAAACTGCAAAACTTGCCAGAAATCGTCCCATTTTACAGGAAAATTTGCTACCTTGAACTGAAATGGCGCTTTGCATTTACGCCTCCCGGGGTTCGACCCTCACTACCCCCATTAAGGCAAGCCAACTCTGCATCCACCCTGGCAACATCCCTCCTAAGGCTGCAGAACGTGCATTACAGTTTCTCAGTGCGCGCCCCACGGTGCTGCGAGCCCGTCTGGGACACCGTTTCTGATATTTATGTTGTTGTATGTTGATCTCTACGTTGTTGCATGCTGTATTATTTTACACAGACTGTTTCTTAGACCTTACGGTTGGAGTTCAAAGGAATACATCAGTGATAAATAGGCTACCCCATCTCGCCGTCGGGTGCAGATTGGAACCATCTTTCAGCAATGATTTTGCAGCTCTGGTGCAAATCAACACCATTTCCTAGCTAGAAATGCTTCATTGAATGTGCTAGGTCGGCACAATCCGGTTTATCAAACTAATTACATTGAAACCAGCCCACAAAAAACAGTTTTCACGCCGCCGTAGCCTTGGTGCCATATTATTAAAACCCATGATGACGTCACGGCATCACTATCCAGAATACAGTAATGCGGGGGCTTAATTGGCACTCAGCCATTGCAGCAGCTACGAGATCGCAGGTGATACCAAGCGTCAGCCCTTTAAGCACACCACCAGGCAGGGAGGAGTCGAGACCGACAGGTCAGAGAAGCAGAGGAATGACTGACCAGAACAGAGACCGACAGGGCGGAGAGGCAGAGGGTGACTGACAGGGCACAGACCGACAGGCGGAGAGGCAGAGAGCGACCAGGACAGGGCCGAGAACCGACCTTCCGGCAGTTGTGTCAGGTCAGTGTTAGCCCGTGTCAGGCCGTTTCAGATATCACACCGCCTCAGCGCTCCATTTCACGTGACTGCAGATGTCAGGTCACGCAGTGTCAGGCGGTGTCATGTCATCTGACGTCTGGTCTGCGTCTGGCGCCGGGCCAGCGGATGTCTCCCGGTGCCAGTGATGTGGGTGGCTTTAGCCGCGCCGGGCCAGCGGTCGTCTCCCGGTGCCAGTGATGTGGGTGGCTTTAGCTGCGCCGGGTCAGCGGATGTCTCCCGGTGCCGGTGACGTGGGTGGCTTTAGCTGCGCCGGGCCAGCGGTTGTCTCCCGGTGCCAGTGATGTGGGTGGCTTTAGCTGCGCCGGGTCAGCGGATGTCTCCCGGTGCCAGTGATGTGGGTGGCTTTAGCTGCGCCGGGTCAGCGGATGTCTCCCGGTGCCAGTGATGTGCGTGGCTTTAGCCGCGCCGGGCCAGCGGATGTCCCCCGGTGCCAGTGATGTGAGTGGCTTTAGCTGCGCCGAGCCAGCGGTTATCTCCCGGTGCCAGTGATGAGGGTGGCTTTAGCCGCGCCGGGCCAGCGGTTGTTTCCCGGTGCCAGTGATGTGGGTGGCTTTAGCCGCGCCGGGCCAGCGGATGTCTCCCGGTGCCAGTGATGTGGGTGGCTTTGGCTGCGCCGGGTCAGCGGATGTTTCTCGGTGCCAGTGATGTGGGAAGCTTTAGCCGCGCAGGGCCAGCGGTTGTTTCCCGGTGCCAGTGATGTGGGTGGCTTTAGCCGCGCCGGGCCAGCGGATGTCTCCCGGTGCCAGTGATGTGAGTGGCTTTAGCCGCGCCGGGTTAGCGGTTGTCTCCCAGTGCCAGTGATGTGGGTGGCTTTAGCTGCGCCGGCGTCAGGACGGGCGGTGTCGCGTCTCCGGGTGTCAGATAGACCTTGCTCTGTTTTGCTTTTCCCAGTTTAAGCCGTTTTCCGGCCAGTGCATGATCTCAGGTGTGTGGTGCGGTTTGGTGGCGGCGTGGGCTCGCACGTGGTGGCTGTGGGGGACTTCCATTTCGGGCTAAAGTACCGGACTCTGGGTGGCACTGCGGCTGCGAACGCTTCGAAGCAAGTTTGGGGGCTTCGATTTCGGGCTGAAGCACCGCGCCGTGCCACCGGACGCTGGGTGCCACTGCGGCTGCGAACGCTCCGTGACAGGTTTGAGTGTCGATTTGCAGAACGCAGCTTTCCAGGTTCGGATCGCCAGGTGTTTGCAACTCCGGATTATTACGCAAGTTCATCAACATTTCGCGCAACAAGTTTCAAGTGCGCACCGGAAGAGTTTAATCATATGGCATGCATTTGGTCACGAATCGCTGCCGAGAGCCCTTTTCACTGGAATGACGACCTAAATCTGCCCCTCCCCATTCCTACATCATGAAAACCACAAATACCACGTTGGCCGGGTGGGTGAAGATAACAAAAAAGGCAAATGCTGAGACAGCATCTGAAGGTTTTCACTAAAATACGTGGGATCGATTTCATTTTCGGTGCGCAAAGGAATAACGGAACACATGCCCCCAGTGCTAAGGTTCCATTGGCTGGTAGGGAGCACTATATCCAGCGTTTACTCAAGTGATTCCAGGACCTTCACATACAGTCAAACTACAAATGTTGTCTTTCGTCACGTTCGAAGTACTGGGTTGTGGAGGTGCTATCCTGACGTACAATGCGTCCTCTTCACGGCACACGGGGTTTACGCTCACGTGATTCTTAAAAATACAGCAATGCGGTAGCGTGGCGAGCCTCCAGACACACGGCACGTGCAAAACTGACGGAGCGCATTCTTCGCCTCGCCCGGCGTCTGCTGATGTAGACCACAAATGCATTGTGTGCACCAACAATGGCGGAGATAATAAGACTATCATTGGACACGCGCATTTCGTTGTGTTGCATGTTACAACCGGAAAGGTAGCACAAGTAATGGATCATTTAGGATTCGTTCCCGAGTGCTGCTGGGAACGAACATACTGAGCATGGATCACAGCACAATCTCGGACCAGGACTACAGCCTTTACGTCGACCGCTTTCTGATCGGTATCTGGCCTCAGGTCACCCGGTGTCTGATCTGTACTTGACCTCAGGTCGGCCGGTGCCCGGTCCGTATATGATCCCAGGTTCGCTGGTGTCAGGTCCGTGTCTGACCTCAGGTCGGCCGGTATCTGATCGGTATCTGTCCTCAGGTGGGCCGGTGACCAGTCTGTGTCTGACCTCAGGCCAGCCGGTGCCCAGTCCATGTCTGACCTCAGGTCAGCCGGTGTCCAGTCCGCGTCTGACCTCAGGTCGGCCAGTGTCAGGTCCGCGTCTGACCTCGGATCAGCCGGTTCCCAGGCCGTGTCGGACTTCAGGAAAGCCAGTGTCTGATTGGTGTCTGACCCCAGATCTGCCGGTGCCCAGTCCATGTCCGACCTCCGGACGGCCGGTGTCCAGTCCGTGTCTGACCTCAGGTCAGCCAGTGCCCAGTCCGTGTCTGACCTGAGGCTGACCAGTGTCCGGTTGTTAACATTTGACCTTGGGCCATTGGACGTGCGGCCCCTGACCGACCTTCTTGGCAAGCGCCTGCAGTCCGCGGAAGAACGTGGGCGAGCCGTGGTTATCGCCACCCTCCGCCTGTATGGGCTCCACCACCATGCCGGCCACCCACTTGCCGGCCCGGTTGTACTGCTCGACCACCTCCTCCACCTGGCGGAGCGGAAGCCCAGCGTCACCAGCCAGCGCACACCATGGCACTGCAGCCCGGGACAGCGCCAGACAGGAAGGCCAGACCATAAACTACACCAGCCCGAGGACAGCACTGACTGACGGGCGGAGTCTGAACGGAGCCACTCTCCCCAAGCGTTTGCCGGCCTTCACACAACTGCCAACCCTAGAAAACATGCACACACGCACAGACACACGCCAAACGACAACCTTGGGAGTCCCAACCAGAACTGGCTATTACATGTACCAACCTCGCGCCACTTCTGGGGTATATCTGCAGAATGCAACTATGTCTGCGTCGCTTGTCTGCACCCCGGCTGGGCCGGCGGCCCGTCTGCGGGAGGCCGCAGAAGGCCTTGACGATCGGCCGGGGTCAGGGCGACTATGCGCGTGGACGGCGGGCAGGCAGGCGGAGAGTGCCGAGGCGGCTCTGGGTTGGTGTGCACGCGACACCACGTGCAGGGCGCCGACACAGTCAAGTGAACGAGATCTTCCTCTCTGCCGTCACACGCCTGTTCTCACAGACACCCTGACCTTACTGCAGATCACCGCCATCGGTTGCCTGGCACAGATATGCATCCGTTTTGTTGCCCACGTCCGAACAGGCCCCAGACCACCTCCAATGTAGCGCGGCGCCAGTTCTGGCTCGGTGACGCCCGTCAACCCATTCAAAGCGACCCCGGGCCGACTGATGTTGCGCACTGTCTGATGCGTGCCAGGGGACCTCCTGGGGCCGGGGTAGCGGTTGGCGGGCCCAAGCGCGCGGCAGCCTCGATTTCAATGGCCATGTTGGTCAGGTGGCCCTGAGATTGGGAAATAAGCTTGCGGTATGTAAAGGCGATTCACACCCGTCCCTCCCCCCCCCCCCCCCCCCCTAACAAAGCACGGGTTAGGTCAACGACTTTGTCGCTGTGACTGGTCATCAGGTGAGCGTTTTAACAGCAAGTGAGATATGTGAGCAGCCATATAACACAAAACACACGCCAAATTGACAAGCATGCCACTCAGCCGAACTGCAACAACCAAACTGCTCACTCGGCCCCACCTGTCTTCCACCCTATTCACCTGCTGCAGGCAGCGCGCATCCTCAGTCCGGTTTTCGGCCTCATGCTCCTCCAGCGGGTACTGGTAGGCAGGGAACGGCGCCACCGGCCAGTCCAGCGCCGGAATGTCCACCTTATGCAAGGGCTTGGAGCGCGTGGTGGAGAGGGAGCCCAGGGTGCGGCCGTGGAAGGCGTGCGTGAACGAGAGCACCGATAGTGGCGGGCTGCCCGGCGCTCGGTTCATCATGCACGACTGCATGTCCTCGGCCGGTGGCAAGTCCGTGCTGCCGCGCTGCCTGTTCCTGCAGAGGGACGCGGGGGGGGGGGGGCGTCAGCAGAGGGGGATGGGGCCGGGCGGGGAGACTGTCGTGCTGGGGGACACGGACCACGGGCTTCTAACGCCACTACGGTTGTTGGAGTTTAACGTAGAGACCATCGATTGCTGCAGAAAGCATTTCATGTAGTTCGTTTAAGTTGCATATTGTACGGATTCAATGCTTTCAAAACCGTCGTTCTACTCCCAGGGGAGGCGCGCGGGTCGAGGCGATCCTTGAATTCCGGGCGAATGAAACTATCGCACAAAGCAGACGTCTTTATTACGTTCACGAAGGTGGCAAATACAAATGTGGATGTTCAAGAACTCATTCACACTCGAGAACTTAAGTCGTTAGATCTGAACAGGATACGATAAAAGCCAGATAAGTGAAACAGATTCGATACACGGGAAACATCAGCCTTACCTATAAGTCATAAACATGGCTTTGTAGGCATTTTCGTTACTGCACGATCCACAAGCCATTGTCTGCACGTTTGGCATGCCTTTGGGTGCCACCTGCGGGAACCGACAACACCAGCCACTTGCAACGGTCATACAAACACCAGAAGGTCTCCAATACATGGAAATGGATGCATCCGTCACCGGCACGACTGCACCTGCTACAAAAGCCGAGATGAGCACGGCTATCTGAACGCAGCGCTGTGGTATGTTCGCGGCCATCCGGACGACACTCTACACCGTCCACGTCATTCATGACGTCACACCATAACCACAGATAGCATTTTGGTGTTCACATCGACCCGGACGACACAGATGATACGTGACGTCACGTAATATCGTTGTCTGAATCTTTTTCCGTCGCTTGATATAAGTACGACATGAACATGATCTAAGAGTAGCCAGACCATCATCCCGGGTTGGACGACCGCCGGTCGGCTCCGGCGGGCGCGTCACGTCACGTGACGGCGGGCACGTACCGAAAGCAGAGCCGACCGCAGTTTCAAGGGCCATTCCGCGTCGGGGAAGGAGCCGAGCGCCGGCCGGTTCACGGACGCCAGCTGAAACGCGCGACGGAACGCGGCTCAAGCATCGCTGAAGCGCCGCTCAAGCACGCAGACACTCCAGCTGAGACGCGCCACAGAACGCCGCTGAAACATGGCTGAAGCGCCACTCAAACACGCTGGCACTCGAGCTGAAACGCGTCATAGAATGCCGCTGAAACATGACTGAAGCGCCACTCAAACACACACACACACACTCCAGCTCAAACCTATAAGAAACGTAACCGGAGTAATGAAAACAATTTCGAGAAAGTAATCTGAAGCTCAGAGTAGGTGCAACACATATTATAACTTACACACGCACAGATCCCGCAGCCAATCTCGAATCGGCGACCTCTGCATCCGACCTCCAGTCACCTGGCATACTGGCCTCACCATCATCTGTTTGGAGGCGGCAGCCTGCACCAGGCGCGGGTGATTGTAGCCAATGGGGAGCGAGGCGATCTGCATGAAGACGTCCAGCATCACGTTGCCGTCGACGTCCACCACGTAGTTGCCCAGCGAGCGCTCGTAGTCGACGAAGAACTGCACGCTGCCTGACGCCTGCGGGCAGTGGGCGATCACGTGAACTGGCCGCCCTGCCGTGGAAGAACATGGCGTCCGAGCCGCTGCCATCCCGTCCGAGGGCGGGCGGGTCGCCACCGGCTGACGGTGGGAGGAAGAGCCGCAGGCGGTGCGACTCCCGCGCCGTTGCAGCCGGGCGTGTGGCGAGCGTCGGCAGCGACCTCCAGCCCGCTGCGTGCGCCGGGAGGCACTGCTCGCCGAAGTCGGACCACGACCGGACCGGTGGTCGCGGAGCAGGACCGGGCGCCGCCCGCGCCGGCGCGCGACGGCAGGGCCGGCGTCACACGACGGGCGCGGTATTGCACACCGCCGGAGGCCGGCTGGGACACACCTGGATCTGGTCGAGCTCCTTCAGCAGCTGCTGGCTGCGCGGCCCTGGCACAGCTGTCACCATGGCAGGGCCAGTCGGCTCGCCCGGCACCAGTGAGGCCACGCCACGCACTGGGGGTACAGCAGCTGCAGGTCAGCGTGACGACACTGGCTGGCAGTGTCAGTGTCATGTGATGGTTTGGGGGGTGTCACTGTCATACACAAGAGGCGTGCATTGTTAATGTTAAGTACAGCCCACTAGGGCCAGTGTCAAATGGTGTGATGTCTGCCTTGTCAGTGTCAAAAGTGATGGCTTTAATGGCATCATGATTGGTAGTGCAGTGTCACTGTCAAATATCATAACACAAATGTGGTGCCAGGCTAAAGGAAATCACTCTCAAGAACACAAACACATGCATGTTGCATACCTAGCTTCACTGAAATTCCAATAGATCTCAAGACAAAAACCATCACATGTAGGTCACATAGATACATGGAGACTGCAATCAATTTGTGTCCAGAACACACAAATACCTTTACCCTGGTAATGATCAAAACCACATCAAGGTACAGGGGTATCTAACTTACATTAACCTTTTGTATAAAAATGAATCATCCAGCCCTGTCTGGTGAGTGTGGACTACTTGCACTGAAACAACACTGTGCATTGGCAAGTCAGATTGATGCAGTGCAAAATTGGCTCTTACTCACACAGTACAAGTAGCCTGGTACTGTGTCATGTACTTAAACACCTTTGATGAAACACTTGCAACTTTGATGACTGATTGAAGATTGAAAACAAGATTGAAAATCACATTCAAACTTTGTCTACATCACTTACCTTGATATGGTGAAGAATGCATCCACCTTCTCATCATTCCTGCTGCCCACATTGTCCTCATGTTGAGTTTATCTGAAATGTTGCAATTCAGTCTGTGATAACATGGCTCAGACACATGCAAGGAACCCAGAAGTCAATATAACTACAAACAGCCTTCTGCTAATGGGATCAGTTTTGAGAAATTGCACAAAAATTACATCAATACAATCTGGTTAAGTGCTACGCATCACAGTTTCCTCAGTAATTTGAAACACGACCAAATTTTAAGGGTACTGAGCAGGCTGATAGCCAAAATTAGCAACAATTGTTCATAAATTATCAGCATGTTTCCATAATATGGTGTTACAATAAGAAACTGATTGATTCAGACTAGTCTGAAGCCTACATAATAGTAACATATCACTTGCACCTTGTCAATGCTATGGGCATTAAGTAAAACTCACACCACATTCCAGAATGTAACAATCCTTAAACCATGACTTCAAAATACTTATCTAGACTGCAACATACCAGCCAGCATTGGAAAACAGTAGTTGTGTCAGTTCACACTTCACAGTAAAATAGTCATGATCTCATACCAACAATGGTGCTCACAGCACACCACTGTCACAATCTGGTGCTGATTATTGATCAGCAGGCAAGTTAGCTGGGCAGTTAATAAGTCAGCTGAGCATGGACCTGTGCTCCAGCAGCAAGAAAAAGGAGTGGTATAGTAGGGGCCAGGATAGGTTTAGGAGTAGGAGTAAGGGTAGGGGTAGAAGTATGGATAGGGGTAAGGGCAGGGGAGAAGCATGAGTATGAGAAGGGGTGGGGTGAGGTCAAGCTGCTATAAGGTTAGCTTAGGGAAATTGTAAGCCTTCTAAGGAAAAAGACATTATCTGTCATTCTGGTGCTCGTCAAAAAAATCTTACTCTGTAAGTGCACATTGTACATGGTGTGGCTGCAGTAGTGCCTGGTTAGTGAGTATAGGGCATGCTGAAAGTATACTTTGTCTGTAATTAGTATACAAAAGTTTGGGAAAATATGGCATGGTATGCTGAAACAGGATTGTAAATTCAATAAAAACATAGCAAATCTATCCTTACCAACTTCACCTGCAGATTTGTATATTAATCACAACTTAGCAATGGGAATTTGGAAAAACATGCAGGTTGTATTGGTCAGAACCAAAATATTCAGGAAATAAAGAGCATGACAAGGTTTTGTTTCATACACATTTAGGGCCACCTGGACCCTTGTGAAATGCTCCTCATCCAAAAAACTCAGACAAACTGTGCTTGAGTCAAGAGAGAGGAAAGGTATGCAAATTTTCTAATTAAAAAGACCAATTCCCAAAACTTTGACCCTCATACAAAAAAACATTCCCTTTCAAAGCATAACACAGCCAAGACTTGACACATATTTGCAACAGTTTTAAGAAGCCTCAACTTTAACCAATCTGTTCATTACTTCTGGCTCTTTGTTTACTATCAGATATGCATACTCATCATTTTGCACCACACCAATGCTTAAAGCCACTGGGTATCCTAGATGATGGCGGAATAACGTTACCTTCAGTGTCCGTTGAGACGCTGGTCAGTAACCTCACTCAGTATCTAATGAATTATCATATAACATGTGCTATTAGCAGCCCATATCTGTTACAGACATGAGAAATAAATTACGGACAGCGGCTCGACCAACTTGGCCGTTACATGAGTTTCGCGGAGTCAATCATGTGCTCAAATCCACAACAATTAACAGCTCTCCATTTCCATCGGACACTGATCCCTCTCCTCAAGCTCAAGCGAGCGAATGCTCAGGGCCCTCCGTAAGACAGCCTTGATTTGCAGATAGCCTTGCAGCTCTGATTTGCAGCTCTTGGCGCCGGATTTCTACCTGTTGCGCAGTATTAGAGTTTTCCGTGTGAAAAATCATGTGATGTAAATTAAAATGCGCGGGTCAGATGGCCCTCGTCGATGTTTTCACCATATTTCGCAAGGGCAGATTTGCCAACGTTTCGAAGGATCTGCACTCCTGGGACACTAGAGATGGATGTTAATATGGAAGTATTAAGGACGTGGTGTCACAAGAGGGAGGGAAGTGGGACTGAACAATGAAATATGATATAACATGACCAAAGATAGGCGAACAACGATAATGAACAAGTTTCTCCCAAGACTTCGCCCACTTTCTTCCCAAAGTTCAGCGTCGATGGAGGCCAAGTTTGGGGGTTGAAGCCCTAATTGAATCGGAAACTCATCCCTGGTGGCCGATGGACATCAACGGAGGGAGGCAATGGCGGGGTCAGGATTTCGTATCGGGAGGAGATAGCTAAGAGCAAAGCAGGCCCTTTCGACCGAAGGGGCCGGCTTCTTCATGGTTGTAGCCCTGTTCGTGGATGCGGGATATTTCTAGCCTTGCATATCATTTTGATGCCCCATAACCCATGTTTGGTGAGTTAGAAGTACTTAGAGCTTGGTAAAGCGCTAAATAGCATTGAGCCCTGCAGTTCTAGTGCCGGCCGAGGCAGTCTTGATCGCTCCAGGGACCTCCACATTGGCCGTGAGCTCTCCCATTAGTCAGGACCTCACTGCGTTTCCGAAAGTCCCACGCATGCTTGCGAGCGCCAGGGTGTTTCGACTGTTCGTGCGTATGCCCCAACCAGATGCTGGCGGTCGTGAGGCGGCCTTTTGCCAATATCGATGCTCGCACGTTGCCTTTGCTTTTTAAGATCTTAGTACGTCCGTACTTAGAGTATGGCAACGTCTCTGGGGCCCATTCGGCAAACTGGACCAGAAACGGCTGGAACGGGTTCAGCGACGAGCTACCCGGCTTGCCTATGAAGTGAGGCGCCAGCCATACCCTGAGAGGCTCAGACTCCTTCAGTTGCCCTCGCTGTGCTATCGTCGTCGCAGGGGAGACATGATAACAGTCTACCAGCTGTTTCACGGAGGCATGTCGCTATCGGAAGAGGAGTTCCTGACAAGGCACAACTCGGAGGTGACGAGAGGACACCAATGGAAGCTCAGAAAACCTCGAGCTGGGACTATCGTCCGTCGTAACTCATTCAGCACGCGGGTTGTCAATGACTGGAACGCTCTTCCACACCCGGTCGTGGCATCGACCTCAGTTGAACAGTTCAAGTCTAGGCTTGATACGCACTGGGCTGACATCATGTACGACGTCCCAGACTGAATCTTCCCATAATTTGAGACTGTTCGGTTACCGGACCGGGAGCCTGACGAGACCGGGACCTACAGGCCTAGTGGCCTCTTTCAATTCCCGATCACCATGAGGTTAGGTAAGGTAAGGTATGAACCTGGCTAAATTACTTCATGCGTCCAAGTCCGAGACTACAGGATAATGATTTCTCTTGGTATCTTCCCCTTAGGCCAGCAGTCGGATATGCGACTATGACTTTTGTGGGATCGAAGCCCCTTTCTTCTGATCAAGCAGAGGAATCACGTGCCAGGACCGATCTGTGCTAGGCTGCGCTTCGGATGGCCGCAGTCACCCCGAGACGCCCGATCCTCGCTCAGCTGACAGTTGATTATTCTGGGAGCCAGCCACACCGACGGCTGCCTTCGCTTCACTGTGCGGAACTAGTGAGTCGGAATGCAACCCGCTGCCCTGTCGGCCGTCTTTTCATTTCTTTCCTCGACGATATTTTTTGCGCGCAATTGTCGAGCACAAGTTTACGCGCCCACGATTTTGTAAGTGATTTCCGTTAGTTCATGAACTTCCGACCCTCATACCTGTGCATCACGTTCTTCGTGCATATTAAATGTTAGGATATTGTGTACGCCTTCATAGCACTCAGAGGAAAAGCCTCTCTAAGCCATCAGTCATCAGCTGATCACAGCGACTAATCGGCTAGGCGTAAATAGGAGTCAAGCTCGTGTTTGATTTTGACAACATTTAACAGCCAACTAAGGTTTACTTTGCTATGTCTTCTCCAAAATACTTGACCACAGGATCCACCACGATCTGGAGAAGATGAACTAGCTCCATGTATGTGCATGCGTAGTACGCCCAGTTGTTCAGGGCTGAGCTCAGTAAGATGGGTTCCTGTACAAAATCACATATCTACGAATCTTGCAACTTAATGGTCGGGATATGACTTTTCGAAGCGGGCTCAAACTCTAGGGAGTACCACAGTTTTGCGTTCCTCTCCCCCTTGACGAAATCCTGGCTACGCTACTGGTCCCAGCGAGCAATTAACACGCGCTCGGGTGGGAGGTCAAAACTGCCCCCCCCCCCCATTCCGATGGTTTTCCGTAGTGGTTTCCGAACGGCGCGACATAGCCACAAGTTTTGCGTAGCCCACTGAATAGCGAGCTGTCTGACATAAAAAATTAGATGTACCTTGTAAGGCCGCCGATCTATGGCAGGTCGAAGTCAGGCCATGGTTTCAGCGAAGGCAATTTCTAGGGAGTCGTTCAATCTGATGCAACAACGGAGTGTTATACGAAGCCATACATCCCTGAGATGCTTTTTTAGGCAACACAACAATTGAATGAACCAACTGCATTGACATAAGGTCAGGAATGAAGGTCTTACCAGGGTCAAAATCATCCTATCTTATTACTCTAGGGCTTGTTGCATAGGGTAGTTTCTGGTGCATATTTTGAATTTATTGATTGCAAGAGCAACGGTATACACCTTCCATAGACTTTTTAAAGGTCACAATAAGTCATTGACCTAGAATGACCCATGTCAATGTTTTGTTGTTAGGAACATACTGCCAAGCGTAATATAGGTCGCTTTCCAAATGCAAAACTTAAAACGGTCTTGTATGACTTCGGTCACCATGACCATCAACAGGTCAAACGAGGTCACTGACCCTAGAGGAACATGTAACCTTTTGCCCAGAACAGTTATCTAGGTTTCAGGGGCCCCTTTGGAGACCAGCCGGGAATTTGACCTTGTTTGACCTTGTTTGACCCGAAGGTCGTGACCTACGAACCTCAAACTGTGATCTAAATGAGTTCACGTACAGGCTAAGACACCCTGTAAATTTCCTGAGATCTCGGGGGGGGGGCGTCAAATTGACCCCCACCCGACCGAAGAGCATGCAACTGGCCACCCGGGCGCAGAGTCAGAAACCGGCGTTCTCTAAGCTTATCTTTTGCGCAAATGACACTACCTTTGGAGTCTGACCGTTCTGAGATTTGATAGTGCTGGTAACTTGACCCACCCATGAGTGGTTTTGCATGGTAAAAATAATGTAAAAACGCATTCCATGTCTTGCAAGGAGGATCCATCATGGCCGGCTACCAATCAAGCCGTGAATAATTAAAAGACCACAATTTTAAAGCGATTTAGAATCCTAGCGCTCCAACCAGAACTGCCTCCGCTCCGGCGCAGTATGAACGTGCAGAAACACCCCCAACAGTGTAGGATGGCCAGAGCACGCCCTCTGTACTCACACAAATGGCCCCGGGTCAGGTCACCGTGACAGCGTTCGCCCGTGCACCATCACCAGGGTTGCATGCTGCGCCGCAGTACGAGCAAGGACTGAATAGTATGACGTCACAGTCAGGAGGGCGTGGTGACAGCTGGCATCACCATACGATTTTTTTAAAAATCAGAGCAGGAGGCCCACGTCAACCAATAATACGTCTCATTTTCACAGGGTCTCGCCACGAACGACGATATGGCCCGATGAGAAAGCGTCTTGTGTAATGGAGAGCATTGCCACGGTAGAAGGCACCTGTCATGACCCCGAGGAGGCCTCCCGCCATGGATGGTCGATATCCTGCCGCCTGGGCGTAAACAGGCGCCCTGGCAAACGGTTAACGCGACTCCTATCCCTCCCGGCGACAGCGTCAGTACCTGCACACGTCCGGGGTGATGGCTCCAGGCCGCCAGCGCCACACAGTCACGGTGGAGTGGGCCGCCAGCTGCTCAGGATATGCTGCAGACCCCAGCCACGCCCACAGCGCAAACCGGTTATTACTGGTCGTGGTCGCAGTGCGACGGATTGTGTATGAATAGTTCGTTGGATGCCGCGCGTCGTATTTAAATAATCAAGCTCGGCACGGCCTTGACAATCCTCCCGGCACGTCAGCGCTCTGTGCGCAGCTGGAAGGACAGACACTCGCAGAGGATTGGGTAAAAGTCCAGCTCATTGGTGCGTAGTCCGTACAAACAACGACCTGCTCCCCGAGTCGTGCTCACGTGCCTCCCCACCACTCCCCCTGCACGCGCCCTGCTCCCGACCGCTGCCCCCCCCCCTCCCTCCCTGCATGGCAGCAGCTGTGTACGGTCAGCGGGTCCGGCGTCTTGGGCCGGCGCTGGCCCGGCTCAGCGAGCAGCGGAGGCTTGGCCACTCCTGTCAGTGTTGTCGGTGTCGGTATCCCGGTGCTGCTGGACGCTTGGCTAGGCGTCAGCCGTTTGCGGGCGACCAGTTGACGTT